AGCGAGGGCTGGCTGCTTAATCATCCCGGCCACACAGGCCATGCAGCACAGAAATTAAAAATTCATGCACAATCATTCTCGGTGGTGGGTTACAAAAAAGATTAAAGTTTGCTAGATTGAATTCGGAAGCCTTTACACCAGTTTTGCCCAACTGCCCCAGAAATCTTAGTATAAAAAGTACCAGGATGGAAAAGAAATCCTTATGCTTTTGGGAAAGAATAGTCTACGTTATTTGGCATCCAAAGGGTCTGAGCAAAAATACTGGAAGCCTTCCTATTTCTGTTGACATTTATCTAGGGTGCTGTATTTGGAGGCATAACCACATTGTGATCTCAGATGCACTTTACTGCTGCCCATTACAGTTGTGGTTTTTGAAACAGAACAATGACAAGCAATAAGAAAGAAAAGGAAGAAAAATGATAGGTCAAATTTGCAAGGAGCCTATTTGAATACCACACAGGCATTATCAGGGACAGAAAATAAAAACACGAATAACAGATTTGGAATTCCACTCTTTTGCTTGGCAGGTTTGAAAAGAGATGGGGAGACTGTTATCACACTGCTTACTATTGCTGGGCCCTATATTCAAAGCACATTCATAATCATAGCATGTCCTGTAATTGCCCAACACCAAAACCTGTTGCCTTGTAGTTTCACTGTAGTTTCACCAAAGGCCACTTTTGTGACTGAGATGGACTAAAGTTTGCAAACTTCCAAGCGGCGTACAATTCCCACAGCACAACACTAAGAGCTCTGAGTAAACCACAAGTATATGCTGTTCAGTTTTCAGCACCAGCTGATTTAAGATTTAAGAAAAACGATATTGATATAGAAGTCTGTGGTTGACATGGAATCCCAGAGAATCCCAGTGCAGAAGCCGCACTAATATCAGATGAATGAGAAAGTCACGCCTGAAACTCTTTCAACTCTAGAACAAAAAGAAAATAAAAAAGCTGGAGAAGAATTGATGTGAAATAAATCTTTCCTGGCTAAGTTTCTTTATACAATACTGCAGTGCAGTGCCTGGGGTTTCCTGCTACAGGAAACTTGCTTTGTCAAGTCTGCAGGCAAAGAAACAAATATTTGCTCTGAATTCTCCCATACAATTTTCTTCCTCCATGGTCAATAATGGAGTGGGCCTCCTTTGTTCTCCTCCTCCAAATTGAGAGCTGGTACAGGAGCAGCTCGTTGAGAGATCACAGTTATAAATAGCAATCTCCTGCAAGCAGAGGTGGCCACTTGGAGTATAAACAAGTTTAAGAAGCAGCCATTTCTCTCCTTTGAAGAACACATTCCTATGGCTATTGCATAGTACATAAAGTGGCCTTCGCCAGCCAGAATAGAGGTGTTAAAGATTGCCCTCCAACACATCTGGAGAGATATGAAGCTGAGAGAGCTGAAACAGATCAGGGCAGGGGTACACCACCTTTTCAGATCCTGGATACCATCACATGATGGCCTATTGTGATCTCTTCACAATATACCGTATTCTTTTTCAATCAAAAGTAGCCACCATCTCAGGAGATCCACCAGATTCCTGGAGAACTCATACAAGAATGTCCAGATCATGTAGACTTCACGGACGAATGCTGGATTTTATAGGATTTGTAGTTATGTGAGATGGTAGCCATTTTTATTCGGGGGGTGGGGGGGCAGGGAGTTTGAATGCCCTTTTGGGATTCAGTGGGTTCTCTGATACCCAAAGCAGTTGAGATGCCAGTTGCTAAGTCATATTGCTGGATCTGATAAGGGAGATCTAGCTACAAATGCCTTAACCCTAAATTTCACCAGTGACAATGAAGCATGAGTCTCTCTCTCTCTCTCTCTCTCTCTCTCTCTCTCTCCCACTCCCTCCCTCCCTCGACAAAAAGATCATAAATGCTACCTTGATCTTACCAAAGAGACAAAAACAAAACAAAACACAATATTACAAATCCCTCTAGTCTACAATCATTTTGTCTAGGTGAGGAATAATACTATCAACTTTGTCCACCCATCTCAGAAACAGCTGCAGCTTAACAATGCTTCCATACATTCACGGCTTCATAATTTCAGACATATAGCCACAGCACACTTACACATCCTGGGAACAAAGACAAGCATTGTGTAAAGTAAAAGACAAGGAGCTTGCAGGTCACCAATGCAAGACAACTATACTACAGCTGCTGGCTCAGTAGCTATCCAGAGAGAACAAAAGGCAAAGTGTTTCCAGGATCTCTGCCTCTAAAGCCAAGAAATTTTCTGTGCTAAGGACTAACATCCCAGAAGGAGTATTTAGTATGGAATGGACTGATGCAGTGAGTCCAATGGTCTGTTTTCATTGTAATACTCTTTTTTCCCCCTTCCATTTTTAAAGAAGATCTTCTTGCTTCTTTTGTAAGCAGCAGGTGACAGAGAAGGAATAGATACACAAAAAACACATCTACATTAATCGCCCACAGAGAATTTTCAAAATAGACGGCGGGCCTAAAGCTTCGGTATGCTTACCCCTCTTATTAAGCTGCACATTCTGGATCGTGATCTTTCAAACTGAACCCAAGCTAACGTCCAATTACCTCATCTGATGCCTACCACTCTAAAGTCTACAATACAAGTGGTCCTTGGGTTACAACCGTTCATTCAGAGACTGTTCAAACTTACAAAACTGAACGAGTGGTACCGTGTTTATGAATGGTCCTTGAAGATCCGGCTGTTCCAGCACGCCTCCCCCCCATCACGCGCTTGCAGTTTGGACACTTGGCAAAACAGCTCAAAATTACAATATCCCACAGTCACATGATCTCCATTTGTGACCTTCCCTGCTGGCTTTTTATAAGCAAAATCTATTGCTCCTGCTGGTGTTTTTTTTCTCCTGAGGAATCCTACAACAGCATTAGGAATTCCAGGGATATTGTACTACATCGTATCCATCTACACTCTGTACAGGCAGTCCTTGACTTAGCCACAATTGAGCCCAACATTCCTGTTGCTAAGTGAGACATTTAAAGTGGGCTTTGCCTTTTTTAGTGACCTTTCTTGCCACAACTGTTAAGTGAATCACTGCGGTTCTTAAGTTAGTAACACGGTTATTGAGTGGATTTAGCTTCCCCTTTGACTTTGCTTGTCAGGAAGTCACAAAAGGTGATCACATGACCCCGAGACACTGCAACCATAATAAATGACAGTCAGCTGACAAGCACCTGGATTCTGATCACGTGATCACGGGGATGCTGCAATGGTTGTGTGAAAACCAGTCATAAGTCACTTTTTTTCAGTGCTGTTGTAACCAGTGGTGGGATTCAAATAATTTAACAACCAGTTCACCCAGGGTCAGGTTGGCTGTCATGGGAGGCATGGCCCATCCCTGTCCTCCAGCTCAGCCATGCATGCAGGACCCTGGGCAAACCGGTTGTTAAATTACACTTCCCCCAGCTATCAAAGTGGATCCTGGGCACTGCCTGCAGTGGAGAAACAGGCAACGGAGTAGCTGGCACAAGGGGGGAAGAGGACCAGGGAGAAGAAAGAGGGAAAGTGGCCTACTCCTTGCCTTACACCTGGCCGCTCCGTCGCCCGTTTCTCCACTGTAGCGCAGTGTCCAGGATCCACTTTGATAACTGGGGTGGGTATGGGTAGGCTGGTGGTTAACAACCGGTTCGCCCAAACCGGTGCAAACCGGCTGAATCCCACCACCGATTGTAACTTAGAATTGTCACTAAATGAACTGTTGTTAAGTTGAGGACTATCTGTAATGCCTAGCAGCCCCTCCTGTCTACTTGGCACTCTGAAGCATATATCTGTCCACAGGACCACCCACTCAGTTGCAGTCCTGGCTAGCTCACCCAGCACCTGCAGAGCCACCTGTAGCCACTGCAGACCTGAGCTCCATAACACCTACCCACAGTAGCACATCCCCCCAATCAAGTAGGAAGCTTTGCTAATTAAGGCTCTGCATTTTATCCATATTCAAAGACATATATGCACATCATACAAAAAAGGAATTAGCCAAATGGAAGAGGTAACTATGGATATAGTAGACCCTTCTAACCTTATTTCATTACATTTTATTTTATTTTAAAGTCACTGTATTTTTTAAATAAAAATCTTCTCAGCAAGTTAAAAAAAACTTAATTTGGTGAACAGAGCTAATTCGATACTTCCCACACAAGGCAGACTACAGCCTGGCTATACCATTCTACCATTTGTACCATTCTGAGTCCTGAAATTCTCCCATAAAATAATATTTACAAAAATGCCTATGAGAGGGAAAAGCATATATCGCGGCAGGAATCGTGGGAAAAAGGCATTCTAAGGAAATTGCCTATGAAAATATATTATCAGACAAAATTGCATGCAGGAAGCCATACATTAGAAGAATTACATGTTTAAAGTTGAGTAGTGGCTTTTTAAAGAAAAAAAAATGAAACTCAGCGCAGAAGCAGGATCAAACAAATATAAGGTGTGAGAAATGAATGAATCCAAAATTGATTATTTTCCCTATTCTGAATAACAGACCTGGTGGTATACCAATACAGGCAGTCCTCGACTTGCAACAATTCATTTAGTGACCGTTTGAAGTTACAACACTAAAAAAGGTGACTTATGACCATTTTTCACAGTTGCAACCGTTGCAGCTTCCCTGTGGTCATGTGATCAAAATTCAGAAGCTTGACAATTGACTCATATTTATGACGGCTGCAGTATTCTGGGGTCATGTGATAACCGTTTGCGACCTTCTGACAAGCAAAGTCAATGGGGAAGCCAGATTCACTTAACAACCATGTCACTAGCTTAACAACTACAAAGGAGTTAACCACTTAACCCCTATGGCAGGAAAGATGTAAAATGAAGCAAAACTCGCTTAACAAATGTTGCACTTAGCAACAGAAAATTGGGGTTTGATTGTTATCGATGGTCATAAGTTGAGGAATACCTGTATTGATAAGTCTCTAGTTGTACACTGATTTGTATGCAATAATCTGAGATTACTAGTCAAAATTTGCTGCTGAAAGCAAAATACATACCAAACAAATGTCTGTGCTTTGGCAAATTCCTTGCAGTTGGACGATGCTCTTAGCTGTTTCCAGGAGCCACAGGATGCCTCATTTCTGGCCCACAGAAAATAAGTGAATTAATGATATAACAGGAGTGGAAAGGAGCAGGAATGTTTCAGGAGGTTTAAAAGAGCAAAAATTATTGCCTTAAGCCTCTTATATCCTTCCCAGAAGTAGAAAAATGGGCTTTTTTCAAGATATTTAATGAATCTAGTATAATTTAACTTGCCCCATTTTTCAAGTGGTTGTTTTAAAGAATGAAGCAAGTAGTCTTCCATTTACAACAGTTCATTTTAGTGACTGTTCAAAGTTACAACAGCACTGAGTTACGACTGTTTTTCACACTTATGACAGTTGAAGCATCCCCATGGTCATGCAATCAAAATTCAGACGCTTGGCAACTGACTCATATTTATGGCGATTCACTTAACAAATTTTGGGCAGAAAAATAGTAAAATGGGGCAAAACTCAGCGAACAAATGTTTCGCTTAGCATCAGAAATATTGGGCTCACTTGTGGTTGTAAATTGAGGACTAACTGTATACAAATTCAATTTTGTCCCTTACTCAATCCCTATTTTCCCAATGAAGAGTCACTATACTCCCAAAACAGTTAATTACAGTAATAAACTTGGCCATACAGGTACGACCAAAGACAAGTAAAATACAGTCACCATTTTAATTCAATCACTGGTTTACCTTTCTGGTAAATTTCTACCATAAAAACACCATATAAGATACACTCTGTGTAAAAAAATAAAGAAACAACCCTCCTCCCACCCCGCCACCTCAGTGGAAGTTATGTAATCCCTTAGGCATCAGGGCATGACATAATATAACATCTAAATCTCTTAAGAGAAGGTCGACTACATTAACCAATGTAACAATAAACCAGAAATCAAGTATGCAGAGATCTAGATTCTCCGCCCCTCCCAGCTCCCACTCCAGCTATATTTTTCATCCAACAATTTTGGTGAAATGTCAGTCTTCCCCCACCTCTTTGGGATACCCAGGCCTGATTTAATTATTTGCAGCTATGCAGGAGAGTAAGGAGTAGTGGAGAGGGAGGGAGGGAGGGAGAGAGAGAGAGAGAGAGAGAGACTATCTCTCCCCATCTCTCCCCACACTGGTAGGTCTGAGGTGTTTTTTCAGCAAAACATTTGGGCTATTAGATTTCTGCCCTCTCTGGTTACTGGAGGGGGGAGAACAGATTAAGCGGTTGAAAGCTTCTCCGTCTCCTGGTCATGGGCCTGCTTCCCACTGATTCCTCTCTCCACAGAAGGTGGGGATTAGAAAGTTGGCCGAGAGAAAGAAGAGCACCTGACCCTTCTAGGATAATTTGCCTTGGGCCCTCCCAGGAGCTGGGCTGAGCTGGGCTAAGCTTCCTGCTGACAGAGTTGGAGGGCTTAACTCTTTAAATCCTTTCTCACAGCAAGCAAGGCCAAAGTCCGGCTTCTAATCGACTCAACAGCCAGGTCTCCTTTCTCTTTCAAGAGTTCCAGGATTCCTGGCTCTCAGCCCCACATCCAACCCTCCTGTAACTCAGGAGACTTTGGAAAGGGAAAAGAAGGGAAGGGTGGATGAAGGAATGTGGACCTGTGAATGTAGAATGTGGAGTCTCTGGAAATCTCCACTTTGCACAAAAAAATACAATGTGTCACGCAATACTGTCACAGTGTATGAAAACCAAGAGAATGTCAGATCCCCAATTCGTAAGACATATTCCCCCCCTTCTGGAAAGAAACCAAAAGTGATTGTATGCATATTCTCTGTTCAATTCATCTTGCTCTTTTTGCTCTTTTTAAAAATTCCCTGTGAATAATACTTTTAGCCAATAAGTTCAAGGTGCCAGATGGCAAGATGACTACAGCATCCTTTGATTTGGACCCTATCCCAAACTCACAGCACTCTCCCCAGAGCATATAAATATCAAACAGTTACTAAACTGTTGCAAAATACTTCCTCCTTCCCTGACTTCTTTTAGAGGAACGGAGCAATCCTGTTAGAAATTGGCTACTGGGGCAAAAATAGGCCACCTCTTTTTTCTTTCTTTTTTTTTTTCAGTTTGGACCTCCTGTTTTGAAATCCTTTCCAATGAGACAGTTAATGATTTTATGAAGGAAATCATATAAAGATTATATAAATCTTTAGACCTTATAGATTCTCCCTCCCTCCCCATTTTTTAATACAGTGGTGTGTTTTGCTTCCAAAAGACCAGGCAGTCCTGCTGGGGCCTCACGCATTATACAGAGCAGAACCTACTTCTACTGGAAGTCTTACGCTGACAACATCACTGCTTCTAATCCCCTTTTGGACCTTGGAGAATCTGTTTTGGGTTGCAGATCCTTCTCAGCTGAGGACTTCAAGTTATGCTACAACATGTTGGTCCTTCTGCAAATGCTCAAGATTCTTGGTTTGATTTGATGTAATAGGGTGAAACAATTGCTCTAATGTTTCCTTCCCAGTTCTCACAGCTTCTTCTGGTTTAAGCCACTTGGGGGGTACAAGGAAGAGTGGGAAGGATATACTAAACTAGGTCAGTCTAGCAAGAATTTATTCCTTGTTTGCCTGCACTGGACTGGGCCAGCTATTGCTTTGAGATTAGAGATATCAGAAGTTTGAATTTCCAGCAGTGACAGCATTAATCCTGCTAATCATCAAACTAACAGGAAGCAAAGACAAGGAATACTCCTTTTCAACCAGGCTTTTCAACCTTCCCGATATGTAAGCTTTGGATCCAGTGTCCCATTGTTTTGCCCCTGATCAGGCTGGAATGCCTCTCCTACCAGTTTCTGTTTTGTTTCACTCATTCAGTGTTTAATTGGTTCCTGTTTATCCTGCGATAGGAGATGGGTTTTGTCTGTCTGCGTATGTATGTGTCACAGATTCAGCATCAGGATCAGTGGCATTTCCTTTGGGACAGATGTTCCAGGGCCTTTATAGCAAAATGGATAGAACAGTCTCCCAAACACAGCACATGAATCATTTCTTTTGAAATAAAGTTAATACACCTGTAATAATCAAAAGAATTTCCTCCTAAGATAATTTGAAGTGAGTAAAATAATATACAGTTAGTATCTTGCATAAGGCCATGGCAGGAACACATTCAGAGTCACTGCCTCCAGTGAACAAACTGCACTGCTCATTAAAGTTTGTTCTTAAGCACATTTCCTCTCCCAGACAGCACCAAAAGACTTCCAAAAGGTAGACATATCTCAGGCAAGGGGAGAGTCTCACTCGGTTGTTTCAGAGGGTGACACAGAACAGCTACTTATGGCATGCTTTTTCACTCAAGCTCTGGGGTTCAAAGTTGCTCACGCCAGAGAGCTATTAGCCCAAACCAAGCCACGGCCACCACCTCTTGGCTCTGTACTGGAGGAGGCAGGAAAAGAGGTTACCTATAGAATCTACTTAGAGATCCCTCAAAAATCACCCAAAATGTCATCTAATTGTCTGTTGATTCCAGGGGATAAATCTTCTCTTCTTTGGAGGTCCTTCCCTGTGGGAAAGCACAGCCAACTTGCCCTTATGTCAGAGGTCCCCAAACTTGGCAACTTTAAGACTTGTGGACTTCAACTCCCAGAATTCCCCAGCCAGTTCTGGAAGTTGAAGTCCACAAGTTTTATAGTTGCCAAGTTTGGGGAACCCCTGCCTTATTATTATGTCCATTCAGAAGCTCACAAATGTTGTTTACACAGGCCATTGTAAAATGTGATCTAAAGAGGCCCTGCAAAAGACTGGAATGGCACACAATTTGAGAGGGCTGTCCTGCAGAGGAAGGAAAAGTTAAGTACCCAGCTGAGTTTGCATCCTGCCCCCTTCCCACCCTCTGGACATTCCCTTATGTATTGAAATACGCCTTGCTTTCTGGGCCACAATCTTGTTGTGGATCCCAGAGGCACCCAGTAAATAAATTCCTGTCTTTCTTTGCCAAGGTCTCATCTGTAAAATGGGAACAACATGGGCAAAAAAAAAAGGGGGGGGGGGTACTTTACAGAAATAAACCATTCATTACCATGATTACCTGCTTTAAAATGAAGGACAGGCTCTCAATCCAAGCCCTTTCCTGTTCCCTGACCCTCCCCTCACCCCACTCCCTCCTTTGAAGCTTGACTCAAAGCTAGCAAATTCCCATGGAGGCCAAAGGTTCCCCAGCCCAATTCTGCCCCCTTTGTGTAGTTTCAATCTCCTCCCCCTCGCCCCAGCCCCCATGAGCATGGATGGAGGACCAGCCCCAGGGCTAAAACGCACCCCCTCCTCCCTCCCTCCCGGGGCTCAATGGATGGTAAGTGATTTTTGTTTTGCTTCCCTCCCTTGCAAACTTTTAAGGTGGGAGGGCTGGAAACTACAATAGGAGCAGACACCCTCCCTCCCGTCTAAGACAACTCATTGTCTCTGCCCAAATCCCGGGCAGGATTTCTTACCATTTGCTTCTCCTCAAGACGATTTTTATTTTTAATTTTTTTGCCCCCTCTGGATAAGCGAGTTGAGTTTGCTTTTTCTGCCATCCAGTGCTTGGCTGGGCAGGAGAAAAGGAAGGTGTGTGTGTGTATGTGTGTATGTATATATGTGTGTGTGTGTGTGTGTGTTGCAGCCGGGGCGGCCGAGGATCTTTACTCCCAGCACCGACCCCATCTCCAATCGGGGAAGGGAGCTTTCTTTGACCTCATCTTGAGGGCGCTGGGTGGGCTCCGGCCGAGGAAAATCCACCCTTTGCCGGGCTTTCGATCAGGCAAATGAAACGAGGCGGGGGGATCGGGGAGGCGAGCATAGAAGGCGGCCGGAGACTGAAGGCGGCGGGAGGGACCAGGGAGGGAGGGGGGGGGGTGCGGTTATTGTTTGTTTACCTCCTCGCGTCCTGCCCCTGACGGCTCCTCATCCCCTCTCGCCGCGGTGCCTGCCTGTCTGTGTTATGTCTCCCGCTTTCGCGCGCACACACATACATACGCGCAGAGGCCGGCTGTAGCGTAGCGTGGCTGTCGGCTGCACACCTCCAAGCGTCTGGTGTGGTGTCTCGGTGTGTGTGTGTGTGTGTGTGTGTGAGCGCGCGCGCGTTATTCTCCCCGACGCCTGCCTTAACCCTTCGGCGGCTGGAAGGAGATCCGCATGCAGTCGTGCTGTACTGGGTGTGCTTGGCGGACGGGGCGGGAGGGGAGTGGGAGGCGGGGGGCTTCCCTTCCCTTCCTTCAAAGGAAGCGGCCGCGCGAGGGAAAGAAGAGCGGAGGGTCGAGATTCAGCGGACAATCCCCCCCTCCCCTTCTCGGAAGGCTTAACACGCCCTCTTTCGTACCTGAAAGACGCCTTCACCTTTTCCCCTCCCTTCCACCACCACCCCTCACCCTCCCCGCCCCGAGTGCGGGTGGGAAGGAAGCGGGCGGGCGGGGATTTGTTACCCAGGGCGGAGGAGAAAAAGGGGGCATGCTGCATATGCTCAGAGGCTCTCTCTTCCTTTTAGTTTGGGCCACCTGGGATTTGCCGTCGTTGGTTAGTTGTTGTTTTTTTAAAGGGACACACAACTATTATTAAATATTTCTAGAAATCTGCAAATATTTTAATCTGGAAAGTCTGGGGCGCTTTTCTCAAACCGTTTTTCCCCTCCCGTCTTGCCAACCTTCTTATTCACGATAGTATCGTCGGACTCCCCAGCCCTAAATTTAAGCTCCCCTCCCCAGTCTTTGATCTTCCCGAAAACGATATTTCCTCTTTAAGCCAAGAGAGTCCTGCCACAAAGAGAAGAGGTCAGGTGACCTATCGATGGGTGTGACCAGAATTGTATCTTGGGCAACAGGGAAAGTGGGGTCAACCTTGACCAGTCTTTGGCCTAAAGGTATTGCCAATCAACTCTTTACAACCTTTTTTGGTTAGCAAGGTGATCACAAGAAAGAGGCTACAACCTAAACAACCTTGTCTCTTGACAGTGAGGGAATGAAACTCCCTCATGGGTTTGAGATATGGTGTGCTTTTGAAATTTCATTCACTGGATGGAAAAGCCATTGGTCCCTCAGTTCACAGATGTGCACTAAGCCAAAGTGGGATTCATTTATCTTACCTTGATTGGTAAGTGAACGTTAACAATTATTATTAGATGTTATCTATCTCATCAACTCTAGGCAGCAAACATAATGCACCTAAAACACCTGCTATTTTCCCTCCAACAACAACCCTGTGAGGTGGGCTGAGAGAGGCAGACTGGCCCAAAGCTACCCAACCGGCTTTCAACGGACTAGGGCTCACAGTCTCCTTTGTCATTAAACAAAACTGGCTCTCAGTTATGGTATGGTATGTATGAATCAGGTCATGATGGCTTATTTAGTACATCATAGCTTAAAAGTCCTGGTTTTTGCTCCACGTGATTTCTGTTTCTGCAGAAAAAGGTTATAGTTTGTAGTTCTGCAAGTCTAGGAATCCAGCCATTCTCCAGGAATGTTGCATGCGAGTCAAGCCATCATTTTCATTTGTTTGGGAACAATATTTTAAGTGAGTCTAGTTAGTACTTATGGTTTGTTAATCCAGATTTCAGGTTTCATGTAGGGTGCGAATTCCATCCAGCATGTCTGAACTGACTCCCCATGGGGTTTTAAGGTGTTTAACAAGTTCTGCCTATGGTCATGTAGATGGTCTGTTTGCAGGAGCCGCAAATAAACAGCCATTGCCGTTTAGTCCAATTAAGAGTAGAATAAGGAAGAACATAAAAGCACTTTCCTAATATTTGAGGGTTGGTCACAGGGAACAAGATGTGGCACCTAAGGCTAGAAAGATAGGAAAATGGTTAGAAGCTTTAGGAGGGAAATTCTTACTCAAAATGAGGAGAGAAGAGATTGGACTCCCATCTGTCAGAAATGGTGTAGGGTCTCCTGTTTGGGCAGGGGGTTGGACTAGATGACCTACAAGGTCCCTTCCAACTCTGATTATCTGTTACCAGGACTTTTCTGACTGAGAGTTACTGTGTCAAGCAATGAAACCACCTCTTTCCTGAAGTCCTGGGATTCAGTCACTGGAGGTTTTCAAGCAAAGATTTGGATAGCCATTGGGGATGACAAATAGGCAGGGCTGGATTAACAGATCTCCCCTCCAACTGTGTAATGCTGTTATATTGTGATAATGAAGTAATTTGGCATATATGGATAAGTCAAGAGCAAATTGCATTCAAAAATGGGAAAAATGAACGGTATTTATGCCTATATGAGCCAGTGCACAGACTCCTAAAAACCTGTGGCACAAAGATGTTTTAATAAATACACAAATACAGCTCGAGTAACTAGCTGAAATGTTCTAGTTTATAATCTGACAGATGACTGACATATCAGACATAATGCCCCCAAGGTATCATTGATTACATAGTGTCCCCAAGGCATCATTAGAAGTGGCATAAATGTGCTCTGTGAGATTTTTTCCAAGAAGGAATCTTCTCCGTTGACTATAAATGACGTGAGTTGTAACACAGCATATCCGGAGGGTCTGTAGTTGAGTGAATGTGCTGTATAAAACTGCATAGGTACCTGACTATGCTCAGTACAATCATGGACTGAGACAGTTTTCATGTGCATTCTTATTTTAACACATTAGGTTCAATACATATGTAACACGGATACATCTGCAATCCAGCTAGGCACACACAATGCACAAGAATAGTGTAATTGTCAGGCAATTAATCTCCTATGTATAAAGTTCCAAGGAAGGAGTTCAGTAAATTATTCGTACAGTCAATCAAAAGTATAATCAATAAATGAATAAAAGAGACACAGGCAAAAAGCAAAACACACTGTTCAAAGCTGTAACCTTAGATACAGATACAGATAATCAGAATTGGAAGGGACCTTGTAGGTCATCTAGTCCAACCCCCCCCGCCCAAGCGGGAGACCCTACACCATTTCTGACAAATGGCAGTCCAATCTCTTCTTGAAAATCTCAACTGATGGCGCTCCCACAACTTCTGAGGGCAAGCTGTTCCATTGGTTGATTGTTCTCACTGTCAGAAAGTTTCTCTTTGTTTCCAGGTTAAATCTCTCCTTGTTCAGCTTCCATCCATTATTCCTTGTCTGGCCTACAGGAGTTTTAGAAAATAGCTTGACCCCTTCCTCCCTGTGGCAGCCCCTCAAATATTGGAAGACCTCTATCATGTCTCCCCTGGTCCTTCTCTTTACTAGACTAGCCAAGCCCAGTTCCTGCAACTGTTCATTGTATGTTTTAGCCTCCAGCCCCCTAATCATCCTGGTTGCTCTTCTCTGTACTTTTTCTAGAGTCTCAACATCTTTTTTATAATGTGGTGAACAAAACTGGATGCAGTACTCTAGGTGTGGTCTTACTAAGGCTTTATAGAGTGGTATTAGTACTTCTCTTGATCTTGACTGTATCCCTCTGTTAGTACAATTTAGGATTGCATTAGCTTTTCTGGCGGCTGCCTGCACACTGCTGGCTCCTATTTAGCTGGTTGTCCACTAAGACTCCAAGATCCCTCTCACAGTTACTGCTATTGAGCCTGGTTTCACCCAGTCTATATGTGTACTTTTGGTTTTTCTTGCCTAAGTGTAGGACTTTACTTTTCTCTATATTGAATTTCATTTTATTAGATACGGCCCAGTATTCTAGTCTGTCAAGATCCATCTGGATCTTGAGCCTATCTTCTTGGGTGTTAGCTATTCCTGCCAGCTTAGTATCATCTCCAAATTTGGTAAGTTCCCCTTCTATTCCCTCGTCTATGTCGTTAATGAAGATATTGAAGAGTACCTGGGCCTAAGACGGAACCTTGTGGCACCCCACTGCTTACTTCCCTCTATGTAGACTTAGACCCATTAAGGACTACTCGTTGAGTACGGTTTGCCAGCCAGTTGCGAATCCATCTAGTGGTGGTGCTATCCATTCCACTTTTTTCTAGCTTACTAAGAAGTAGGTGTGGTCTACTTTGTCGAATGCCTTGCTGAAATCTAAATATATTATGTCCACAATATTTTGCTGATCTACTAATTTAGTCACTGTGTTGAAGAATGAAATAAGATTGGTTTGGCATGATCTGTTTTTAACAAACCTGTGCTGACTGCTAGTTATTACTTTACTTGTTTCTAGATGTTGGCAGATCTGTTTTTTTTATTATCTTTTCCAGTATCTTCCCGGGTATTGATGTTAGGCTGATTGGTCTATAGTTTCCTGGGTCTGTTTTTTTTCCTTTTTTGAAGATGGGAACCACATCAGCTCTTTTCCAGTCCTCTGGTAGTTCCCCGGTGCTCCAGGATTTTTGAAAGATATAGTGCAGTGGTTCTGAGATGACCTCTGCCATCTCCTTTAAAACTCTGGGATGTAATCCATCAGGCCCTGGTGATTTGTTTTCATCAACAGGTGTTCTCTTACTATTTTTTTTTGCTTATTTTAACTTTTATTTCTGGTCTGTTTACTACAGTTGTGTTTTTGGTGGGTTGAGCTATAGTTTCTTTTTGCGTGAAGATAGATGCAAAGAATGAGTTAAGCAGTTCTGCTTTCTCTCTGTTGCCTGTTACTTCCTTGCCATCTTCTCTCTTTAGTGGACCGACTGTTTCCTTGATTTTTTTCTTGTTATTTATATGTTGGAAGAAACTTTTTTTATTATCTTTGACTTTTGTTGCAAGTCTTTGTTCGTTCTGAGCCTTTGCTATCCTGACTTCATCTTTGCAGATTCTGGCTATCTGCTGATATTCTGCCTTAGTTGTATGTCCTTCTTTCCATTTTTTGTACTTGTCCTTTTTTTCTTTCAATTTGCCAGAGAGATCTTTGTGTAGCCATGCTGGTTTCTTCTTGGATTTCTTGTTTTTCTTTCTCAGTGGTATTGTGCTGGTCTGGGCTTCTATGATCATACTTTTTAGAGTTTCCCAAGATTCTTGAGTTGTTTTCCCCTTTAGGATTTTCATCCATGGAATCTTTCCCAAGTTCTCTCTGAGTTTATTGAAATCAGCTCTTTTAAAATCCAAGACTCTGGTGTCATTATGTTCAGTTGCTTGTGTTTGT